AGTTAGACGATTGCCTTTTCTTTTGGCTCAAAAAGGGTTTCTAAGGATAATTTCCATGATCAAAGGATAAAGAAGAATAGCCTTTCGTCATTGGATTCTTTACTTCCTCATCATGAACACTTTTTCTTTATTTTGCCTAGACCACCCCATTAGGTCTTTAGCCTAGCCTCTTTTCCTCTCTCCCCTTCTTTTTTTTTTTTTTTTTTTTAACACATAATATTTCTTGGCCACATCTGCATTTACCGGATGTGGGAGATCATCTCCATCAAGATAAACTAATAATAAAGCTGCTCCTGAAAAAGCTGCCTGCACGATGTAAAGACCATTGTAATTTGGAGCAAAATTTCCCCTTGGATCCTTCTCATTAGGCAGAATTTTCTTCAAAACATCTTTTCCTTCAAACCTTCATCTTTTCCTTCAAAACAACATCTCTTTCTTGAAACCTTTGAGGCCTGACCTCCCCATTTTATGTTGTGGCCATTTTGATTAGGTTGGAATTTAGGTTCTTCTTCTCTCAACATGTCAGTCAATTCAGGAAAAGGTTCTAATTCTTCATCATTTTCCATAGAATAAATCAGTTCATCAAAACTATGTGTAAGTTCAAGAATGATATCACTATTTGTGGATTTATTATCAGCAAACCTGGAGATGGAAATTTTGGCTAGCATGAGAAATTTGAATAAAAGAAAATGAACAATCTTGCATATGAAGAGAGGGAATGAAAATGAAAGTAACATCATTGACTGAAATGGACTGAATGGAACATTATTTGTCATGCCTACAATGCTTCATAAAATATAAAAGGCTTGTTTTAACCATCTCTTCTCATGGTCACAAGCTCAACCACAAGAAGATTGACACATCTTACGATTTAATGATAGGAACAAGAAGAATCTCTACTGTCTTGTTGTCTAAAGCTTCACCATGAGTAGGTAGAGTAAGCTTGTCATCGCCCCTTCCTTCATCAATGACACATATGCTCAACTTCTCAAAAAGAAGTGCTCAAACCATCATTATTTGTTGACGTAGTCACCTCATGACCTTTATCGGAATCTTTCTCGATCATATTAACCGTTGGACCATCATGTGTGGGTAAAGGGTTTTTAGTGATATTTGGACCAACAACCTCAGGTTCTGATGTAATTTGTAACTCCTTTGCATCTATCAGATCTTGGACACGGTGCTTTAAAGCAAGACAATTTTCAAGGTCATGCCCAACACCCCCACTATGGTATTCACATCTTGCTTGTGGGTTATACCATATTGGAAATGGTGGATTTAATGGCATCATAGGTACAGGGGTAACAAGCCTAGCTGCTATCAACTGTCGAAACACTTCAGTATATGACATTAGAAGTTTATCAAAATAGCGTCTCTTTTTCTCTTGTTGTGGACGACTTGTCCCAGAGGCATAAATGGGCCTTGATTGACTTGTGAAAGCCGTTAAATGAAAAGTTGGAACTTGTAATCGATTGTTGAACTGCCCCTGTGACTGATTATAAACTGAGCTTATAGTGCCATTCCCATTCTCCTCCTTTCGATTTTGACCAACTTTCCTTGAACTAGAAGCCCCTGAACTACCATTTTGGTATTGCTCAAGGATACTCTTCATTGCTTGATAATCCATGATAATTCCAGACTTGATTCCATCCTCCACTTGTTCTCCCACAACAACCAACTGAGCAAAAGTGTAATTCACACAAGTTATTAATTTCTCACGATAAGGCCCTTTGGTTGACTTGATGAATAAATTACTCAATTCATGGTCAGTTAGTGGAGGTTGAACTCGAGCAGCCAATCCACGCCATCTCTGTGCAAATTCCTTAAAGCTCTCACTTGGTTTCTTTTCTGTCTTTTGAAGATCCTCTCTACTAGGAGCTAATGACGTATTGTATTCATATTGCTTCATAAAGTTGTGAGTCAAATCATGCCAACTCTTAACTTTACTCTTGTCTAAAGTTGAGAACCAAGCATCTGCAGGACCTGTCAGACTTTCCTGAAAGTAATGTACCATTAGCTTCTCATCATTGGCATAAGGAGCCATCTTCCTACAATACATCGTCAAGTGGGCATAAGGACAACCAGTGCCATTGTACTTATCAAACTCAGGCAATTTAAACTTATGGGGCAATTGAATGTTTGGGAAAAAGCACAAATATGAGATGTCAACCGGTTTATTGGTTTGGACACCTTGCATCGATTTTAGTGTTTCCTCCATCAACTGCACCTTCGCTTTAATTACCTTGTCTTCATCCTCTGTGATTGACTTGACAACTTGAGTCTCTTCTTGATCATTAGATTGAACTGTAATAACACCAGCATTTAGATCAAATGGCTTTGTCCTAGAAGTTCCACCGATAGTTGGATTTGGTGGGCAAGATGACATTGGCTCCTTTCCAAGAATAGATGTGACGATAGGGAGATTTGCCACAGAAGCATTTCCTTCAAACAAGGGATTTGTTGTCAAAGGTGGCCTTGTGACTAAGGTTGCTTGAAGAGATTGGAAGGAAGCCATCAATTCCTTCAAAGTATTTTCCATATTTTCAACACGATTTTCTAGAGCTACCTTCTCTAAATTAGCTTCGTCAGCCATCTTCCTTACAAGAGCTCTAGTGAGAATAGGTGAACGAATTCTTGGATAATTCTTTTTTAGGATCAATCTTTCAACAGCTGAAAAATATAAGCATTATTAACAAATCATGGATTCAGCATTTTGAAAGATAAGTTCCCCAAAGTTCCCTATCTTCTAATTATTTATTTTTATTTTTACACATGGATTCATCATTGTCAAGAACAACTTCAACCATTTGTATGTAAAGGGAGTGAGAAATTAGAACCAAGCAATTGTCACGCCAGCTAGAAACACGAGGAGATTGCCCCCTTCATGATTTTTTAGAATTTTTTTTTTTAAGTAAAAGAAAAATAATGAGGAGATTGCCTCCCTCATATCTTTTCTTCTTTTTATTGAGGAACTTGCTTTTTCTCAACTAGTAAAATTCACTTTGTCAAGATTACTCAAACTATTCCAAGCAGCAACCAAGTTTTTTACACAAGGTCTTTTAGTCTGCACAGAGAATCCATCTGCACAGAGAATCCATCCTTGTGTAACTTGTTCTTCTTGGATAATGACAGACATTCTAACTCTAAATTCATCCTTTTTCTCTTACTTTTTTTTTCCTCTAAAGAATCCATGTGTAAAATAATCAATTACTTATTTTTAAAAAAAAGGAGGGTTAATAAATGGCATACCTCTTGGTCGAATTCCTCACCTAAGAAACACAAAAACATTGTTTAAAAATAAAATACTCCCAATGTGTCCTATGTATAAGGTTCTTAGACTTTGAAGGTGATTTACTAGGCTGGCCGTCCTAGGGTTAAGTTTTGTCTAAGTCCATTACATGTGGTTTCCTAGTGGATCCTATACGATTAGGCTTTTTCAACTGCTAACTTCCATAAGTCAACAATTATTGACTTCCATAAAGTCAACAATTTGCCAACTTCTATAAAGTTAACAAGAGGCATTTCATGATCTAATACAGCAGCAGCATTATGGCTGTCAGGCCATATTAACCCACAAAATGAACCTAAAAGGGATAAATCTCACTTTACAAAGAAAGCATTGCGCTTTTCATTGCTCCATGAGTTATCCATCTATCTAGAGGTCAGGTTCACCTCGTCAAGGACAAAAATGGTATGCAAGTGAGGTATGTGAGGGAGTATACACAAAGTTAACATATGAAAATAACAAAATATAAAATAACAAAAAATTAAAAATAAAATAAAATAAAAAACTTACAACATACTTCATGCCACCTACAAAACAACAGTTAGTAATTGAAAAACCCCAAAATTAAAGTATAAATGGCTTGACACCTCAGTGTCCCCAATGGAGTCGCCAAACTGTTGACGTGCCAAACTGTTGACGTGCCAAAATGGATGGAGTCGCCATCTATCCAAATGAGGTGGGATAGATCACCAAGGTCTACGCAGAAATTAACTAGGTTCGGAAGGTCGATTAAGCATGGGGAAGGTGTTAGGCACCCCACAACTTCCATATAAATATGGTTACCAAATACTTTAATTTTGGGGAATTTCAATTTTTATGAAAATAATAATTACCAAGAACATAAAACAAGAAAAAAACAAGAAATAAAATAATAAAAAAAACATTGTTGCCCTTTTCCCGTTTCTGCTTTTTTTTTTTATTCTATTTCTTTTGTTTCAATTTTTTTATTTATCAATAATAACTACCCCAGAAAAAAGTCAAAACAATTATTGTTCATCGTCCTCTACCTTTTCTCCTTTCCGTTTCTTTTGTTTCTTTTTTCCTTTTTTTTTGTTTTCTATTTTTTTTTCCATTTCTGCTTCTTTTCATTCTTTCTTTATATATGTATATATATATATCCTTTTTTTTTCTGCAGCTTTCCCCTACTCTTGTTTCTTTTTTTTTTTTCCTAATGTATTCTAAAGAGCAGCAAGTCCCAGAAAAGATAACAGCTTCTAAATGACATCCTAAATTATGGTAATTGATTTTATTGGTTTAACAAGGAAACAGCCATGAAACCCAGTGACGAACAGGACTTGGGACAAACAAATAAAGGCTGAAACTATGTATGCAACAAGAATATACCCAATAAAAATTTCCTCCAAATTCATATAGCAACTAAAAATATATATATATATATAGATGCAGAAAACTAAGATTCAAGATCCAAAACTTTCCATATTCTTAAGAAAACACACCTGAAAAGGAGAAAACGAATTTATTTATTTACAGCAAACTTCAGAATACAAGATTTCTTCTTCTTTTGCTTCACAGTGGCTGCCGGCTCCCAGATTTTTCCTTCTCCCTTCTCCCTTTTTTTTTCAATTTTTCCTCCTCCCCTTTCAAAGCCGAAGCTTCCCCTTTTATACAGAAACAGGGAGAACCCAAACCCTTTTCCAATTCTAAATTCTTATCTCAATCCCTAAAATTACAGATAATAATCTAACCCTATTAGAATTTGAAATTCTAAAACTAATCTAGTTCTTTACACATCTTCCCTCTTTTAAGGCTAGATTCATACCTTTAAAATATCAGGACTCCCAATTTGAATCGACTTCGAAAACTTCCTCTGCGACTCTTGATAAGGGCTTCAAATCTGAAAATCTCTTCTTGTGTTGTTGTGATCTATCTAAACTTCGAGTGGATTTGTAGATAAATCAAAAGAATTTGGGAATTTCGGGAGAGTGCCTCACGGCAAGAAGAAGAACCGTGAAAGTGAGGGACTTGCGTTCATCTGAACCCTTACCCCCCCTTTTTATTTTTTCAGCCTTCAAGCAAAACGACGTAGTTTTGCAATCTCTTCCCCTCAGCCCTTTAAATTTCATACTTTTATAAAAACAATCCACTGACTTTTACTTTTATCATTTAGCCCCAATTAAAATTGGGTTATGACACTGTGTAGGAGCAATAAAACAGATACAGCACAACCACAAATCTTTGAATGGAATATATTTGGTTCAATTCTAGAAAGAAGTTGTAATGGTGAATGCTTATAATAAGTAGTTGGCCCTAATCAAATTAATGTTGCAACATGCAATATAGCATGACCCTAAGCAGAAGAGGGTAACTTTGATCTCATAAGCAACGGTCTTGCAATTAATTACAAATGCTTAATAAGAGATTCAGCTAAACCATTTTGTATATGCATATGAGGAACTAGATGCTCAACAGTAATCTCAATTGACATACAATAATCATTAAATGATTGGGATGTAAATTCTCCTGCATTATCAAGTCGAATCTTTTTTATTATATAATCAAGAAATTGTGCCTTCAATTTTATTTTTTGTGCAAGCAACTTTGCAAACGCAACATTGCGTGTAGACAATAGGCAAACATGTGACCATATTATTGAAAAATCTATCAACACTATAAAATATTGAAATGGTCTAGATGGTGGATTTATAGGTCCACAAATATCTCTTTGAATCCGTTCCAAAAATGGAGGAGATTCATTTTCTATTTTAGTTGTACAAGGCTTGGTAATTAATCTACCAAGGGAGCAGGCAACACACGAAAAATCACTTGTAATAGAACTTTCAAGTTCTTTAATGGGTGTCCATGTGAACTTTTTATAATTCTCTACATCATAATAGCACCCACATGACCAAGTCAGTTATGCCCAAGGATAAAGGCATCCGGATCGACTATTTTCTGATTTGTCACAACATTGGATTCTATTGGATATATATATATATGTATAATACAATCTAGAAGAAAATGTTAACATTTTCTCCAATATTTTCTTTGTCCTAAATGCAAAAGTTGTGACATGGAGGAATTCTATTCATTCTCATCCATGGTTTCAATATGGAAACCATTACAACATATATCCTTAAAACTTAGTAGATTTTGATTTGATCTACTAGAATATAAAACGTCGTATATTAATAATTTTGTTCCTCCAGGCAATAAAATGCAAGCTTTTCTAGAGTCTTCAATCAACTTTGCCATACCAAATATTGTATGAACATTAGCCTCAACTAACTTTAATTGACAAAAATAATTCTTATTTCTCAAGATGGCATGTGTCGTGCCATTATCAACAAGACATAGGTCTCCATCATTGATCTTAGAATCATCCAAGTCCATTTGGTCTTAAATAAAGACAAATGAAATAGAAGAAATAGATATTCAATATATATTCTGAAATGATTATTCTTTTATTGAATATAAAAAGGACATTACATATAGAAAAGGGGAAATAACCATTTAGGGGAAATTATTTAAGAGTACATAAGATGTCACCTCCCAAAACCACGAGCGAAATAGGTGCCGTACACTTGTGAGGAACTCCCACAAATGTACAAGGCTCAAGCCTACCTAAATCATATATAGCAATTCACATAACTTAGATCCAAGGTCTCAAGTAAAATCTAAGTCTTCAATAACCAAGGTTTGGCTAGGCCAAAGTGTACAAAATTACATAACTTAATCAATATAGTCATGGCTATAACCAATAACCAAGGGAACTTGGTATACAAAAGAATGGCCTATCATCCAACATCTATGTCAAAGTATATGTGACTAGCGACCTAACTCCAAAACGATCTAAGACCAAAATACAATGACTAGCCTTCTAACTCGTTACTCCCCTTGGTTTCCCATGTCTCAGGTCATTACCTGAAATGATGGACAAGGAAAAATTATAAGATATTTTAGTAAGTAAAATATGAATAATCCTCATTTATAATTAAGCATGCCATCAAGTGTAATAAAATTTTTAGAAAAACAATACGAATACTGGAAATGAAATAGACGTGATGAGAACCCCAAAGAGAACAATGACACCTACAACACGACAAGGGTAAAACTTCTCCAAGTTGTTGATATTCCAGACTCTAGGAACTCTCTTTCCTTCATTGTCTTGGAGGATATAGGCACCAAGATGAGGCACCAAGATGTGGCACTTTGGCCACTGTGTAAGGGCCTTCCAAGTTCGGGGCTAATTTACCAAAATGAGTTTCAAATCCCGTTAGACCAACTTTTCTGAGAACAAGGTCTCCTACTTTAAATGTTCGAGGGTGAACTCGTTTGTTGTAGAAGTTGGCTAATTTCTGCTTGTATACTAGAGTTCGAAGTCGTGCTTCCTCTCTAACTTCGTCAAGCAGATCAAGGTTCTCTCGAAGCAGTTGTCCATTTCGTCCTTGATCGAAATGGGTGACCCTGAAGCTTAGGACTCTTATTTCAATAGGAATGCTTGCTTTGGTACCAAAGGTCAGGTGGTAGAGTGTTTCACCTATTTCATTAAGTTATAGTTTTTAGAATATGCTTTATATGTTATGCATATTTGATCTAGGGTAAAGTTGCAGAAGAGAAAATAAAATAGAATGAAAGTAACTTGGGTTGGAAATAGTACCTGTGGTAGTTCGACTCGTAGTTCTATATGCCCAGAGAACATTATTGAGCTCATCTGCCCACCTGGCCTTGTGCTGCTCCAACCTCAACTTTATTCCGTCTAGGATAGCTTTATTGACATATTCCACCATACCATTAGACTCCGGATGGTATACCGAGGTAAATTGTACTTTGATTCCGTAACTTGAACAGAAATCTCTGAAGGCAGAGCAGTTAAATTGAGTGCCGTTGTCAGCCACAATCTGATTTGGGATCCCATACCAACAGATAATTGAGCTGAAAACAAAGTCTTCGACCCTTTTGGAGGTAAGGTTGGATAATGGCCGAGCTTCAACCCATTTCGTAAAATAATTAACACCAATGATCAAATGTGTTACCCCTCCAACTCCTTTCATGAATGGGCCTAAAAGATCAAGTCCCCATTGAGCAAATGGCCACGGTGCTACCAAGTTGGTGAGCTCTTTTGCTGGTTGGTGAGTTAAATGTGCGAAGAGTTGGCACTTTGGGCATCTGTGTACAAAGTGAGTAGTATCCTTATACAAATTTGGCCAGTAATATCCTTGTCTGAGGACTTTATGAGCTAGAGTTCTAGCATCAATGTGGCTTCCACATACGGCTTCATGTACCTCCCTAAGTGCGTAGTCAGCTTTATAAGGGTTCAAGCATCATAGGAGAGGGAGTGAGAAAGATCTCTTATAGAGGACTCCATCAACGAGTGTGTATCGAGACGCTTTCTTCCTTAACCTCATCTCTTCTTGCTTATTTGTAGGTACTGACCCATCTTGTAAGAAAGAAATAATTGGATCTGTCCAACTTAGTGTATTTGGGTCTGTGCTGATCTCCATCATTTTTGGTTTCATGAAGCTTGACTTATCTAAAACTTCAACAAAAACTGACCTAGAGCATAAGGAGCTATCAGAGGCAAACTTAGAAAGTGAATCTGCCTGCTCATTCTCAATTCGAGGTATTTTGCATAAACAAAATTTCTAGAACTTGCATTTCAGTTCGGCTACTAGGGCTACATACTTCATCATGACAGAATCAACTACCTCACAAACTGAGTTGACTTGATTAACCACAAGTTGTGAGTCGTTATATACTTGTATGGCCGTAACTTTCAGCTCCAATGCTAGTTGCAAGCCAAGTAGCAGAGCTTCATACTCAGCCATGTTATTAGTTGCATCAAAGTTAAATTTCAAAGCATGCTCACTTCGATATCCATCTGGGCCAACTAGGAAAGCTCCAGCTCCTGAGCTCTTGCTACTTGATGCTCCATCAACATATAAGATCCAGTTGCTCAACTTAGGGTTAGAGTTTGGGTGACATGGGGTGCATTCCACGATAAAATCTATCAATGCTTGAGCTCGGATTATAGACCTCTGTTGAAATGTTATCTCGAATTCCCCCAATTCTACTGCCCATTTAATTAATCTTCCCGAGCACTCTAGCTTATAAAGGATCTATCGAAGAGGTTCGTCTGTGAGGACTATGACTAGGTGTAATTGGAAATATGGCCTCAACTTTCTAACCGAAATAACAACTACTAACGCTGCTTTCTCAACAATTGGGTATCTCAGCTCTGTTTCGTGTAACACGCTGCTGATATAATAAACTGATTTTTGCTGTTTGCGTTCTTCTCTCACCAGCATAGAACTGATTGCTTCATCAGAAATACTAAGGTATAAATAAAGGATTTCTCCATCTGTAGCTTTCGTCAACAAAGGGGGTGAGCTGAGATAAGACTTTAGCTCATCAAATGCAGCTTGGCATTCTGGGTTCCACTCAAACTTCTTCTGTTTACCAAATTCATCCTTCTGTGCTGTCGACCTCATGATCTTGAAGAATGGCATGCACTTATTTGCTGACTTCGATATGAATCTACGAAGAGCTGCCACCCTCCTAGTTAATCTTTGTATATCTTTTACCGACTTCGGCGATTCCATCTCAACTATTGCTTTGATCTTTTCTCGGTTAACCTCAATCCCCCTCTCAGAAACCATGAAGCCTAAAAATTTCCCAAACTCCACACTGAAGATGCACTTTGCTGGGTTTAACCACATTCTGTTCTTTTTTAGGTTGTTGAATGTTTCATCGAGGTCAGCTAGATGATCTTTTGTTTTTAGGCTTTTCACCACAATGTCATTGACATAAACTTCCAAATTCCTATCGATCTGAGCTCAAAATACGATGGTCACCATCTTCTAGTAACTGGCACCTATGTTCTTTAACCTAAAGGGCATCATGATAGTGATAAATTTCATCACCTGCATAGAACTAGGTTTTCTCTTCATCCTCTGGAGTCATCGACACTTGGTGATAACTAGAATATGCATCTAAGAGACTTAATTTCTCATTTCCAAAAGTCGCTTCAACCAATTTGTCAATGCTTGGTATCGGATAACAATCTTTGGGGAAAGTGTGGTTGAGATTTGTATAATCGATGCACATTCACCATTTACCATTTGCCTTTTTGACCAACACTAGATTGGCCACCCATTCACAATAATCAACTCTTCTGACGAAGCTAGCTTGCAAGAGTTTCTCTACTTCTTCCTTTATAACCTTAAGCCTCTCCTCTCTAAAGAGGTGCCACTTCTAGGCTACTGGTTTCTTTAATGGATTGGTGTTGAGCTTATGCTAAGATACTGAGGTTGGAATCCCTGGCATGTCTGCCAAAGTCCAAGTGAAGACATCGTTGTTAGCTCGAAGGAAAGCTATTAGCTCTGCTCTTTCCTTTGGGTTCAATCGAGTTCCAATTTATGTCTTCTTGTTTTCATCTCTGTCACCAAGTTGGACTTCCTCTACATCCTTAACTGGGGTAGCTCGAGTTTCATCTTCAGGTCGGTTGTCTATTATCTCTACCCTCATCACCTGCTGATTATCATGAAGTTGTTGTGGAAGGATTTTTGATGTTTGATCTTTGCCTTTTTGAGGCCTTGTAACCGAGGTAATATAGCAATGTCTAGCCACCTCCTGGTTACCTCGTAGTGTTGCTATCCTCATAGGGGTTGGGAACTTTATACAGAAGTGAGATTGAGTGACCACAGCTCGGATCTCGGTTAATGTAGGTCGTCCAATAACAGCATTGAAGGCGGAAGCCATTTTGACAACTAGAAACCAAACTGAGGGGGTAACATAAGTTCGGTCGCTCCCAAAAGCAACATTGAGAGTAAGGACTCCTTCTACCAAAATAGGTTGGTCATTGAATCCATATATGGGACTGTCGTACCTCTGCAACAGAGCTGGATCGAGTCCTAGACTCTCAAAACAGTGAAAATACATAATGTTTGGTGCATTCCTTGTGTCAACAAGGACACATTGTACCTCATAGTTGTTAAGCATAATGGAAGTGACCAAAAGGTCATTATGGGGTGTGACAATCGTATCGAAATCAGCAAGTGTGAAAGTGATGGGTTGATTCTTCCAGTCAGCATCATCAAACTTTCGTTTTTGGGCCCGGTTTTGGTGCTTCACCTTATTGACATACAATTTTCGTTGTTTGGAGCTCAAACCCCCTACTTCCAATCCTCCCATAATTATGTGTATAACTCTAGCTGGTGGGGGGAATGGAGGTGGGGCTTGTTGATATCCCACCCCTTGTTTGTTTTTTTTATTATAAGGTCCTTGTTGTTGTGGCCCCTACTCTCCAACAAACTTCGGTTGCTCTGTTCTCTGGATGTATTCATCTAGCATTCCCTTCTGAGCTAGACTTTCCAATTCGAACCTCAAACTATTACACTCCTCTATTGTATGACTGTGATCTTGATGAAAATTACAGTATCTAGTATGATCACGTGTAGCAACAGAACTTCTCATTGGTCCTGGTCGCCTCAGATCCATCTTATTCTTGATCTACATGAATATCTACAACCTCGGTAGATTGAAAAAAGTCCATGTAAGGAGTCCATACAACTAGTGCTTTATTGGTAATTTGTTGGGGAGGTACTGAGTTCAATTTTCCAAATCTCAGTGTGAAGGTCAACATCAGACCTCAATTCTGTACTGTCTTCATTCACTTTCTACTCTGACCCTCGTCTCTCCTATCAGGGTGTTGATTCTTAGGGAGAACTGGCTTTTGTGACAATATTCCTCAGCAGTTATGAATTTCAAAGATCTATCATTAACTTCATTAAAAGTGGTAATAGGATGCTTAATTATGCTATCTCTAAATCTTTCATGGTTAAGACCTTGAATTACAGCTGCAATTCCCATAGCTTGGTTGAATGAGCTAACTTTGAGGACTACATCATTAAACCTACTCATGTAATTCTTCAGAGATTCTCCATCCCTCTGCTTAACTCGCATTAGTTTAAAAGTGGTTTTCCTAATCAACCTTCTATTGGAAAACTTTGTAGCAAAAGTAGATGTCATTTCTGTATAAGAGTTGATAGATCTTGGAGGCAAACTATAATACTAGGTTCGAGCATTACCACAGAGAGTAGAGGGGAAGATCTTGCACATCAACGCATCAGGGGCATTTTGAGCTTGCATATAGGAATAAAAAGCATAGAGGTGATCATCTGGATCCTTCGTTCCATCATATGTCTTGAGCTGGGGTATTTTGAAACCAGTAGGATAAGGTTCCAATGTAATATTAGTATTCAGAGGATGAGGTATGGAATCAGTGTTATGGTGGGGAGGTGAGGCACCTCGTTGCTCAACTACCATTTTTTCTAAACTATCCAAACATCATGTGACATCATCAGGTAGATGTTGTTGAGCTGAGGCTATGTGAAACTGACCCTGGGACTCAGTAAGAGCAAGAGCATGTTGAACTGGTTGAGGGTCTTGTTGCTGAACAGGGGGTTGTTGAGTAGGGTTAAGTAGATTGATGAGGGGATCACCAGGATTATTCCGAGCTAAGAGCTAAGCCAAAACCAATTGAAAAGCACCAAACTGTTGTTGCATGGCAACAAGCTGAGCTGTGACTACATCTCCTTGGTTAGGAATGAGAGCTGAATTGTGAGCTAAGTTGTGAGGTTGATTTTCATCTCTTCCTTCTGCATATTCAATAGAAGGGAATGGATTTGGGATCTGAGGTAGGAGGTTGTTGGGGTATTGAGCTTGACCCTGTCCAAGAGGTTAAGCCTGACTTCCAGCTCAAATAGATCGAGTGTTGACCATAATGAAAAAGCAACAAAAGAGCTTTTAGTTCGGATTCCCACAAACGGCACCAATGTAATTGCACCAAACTCGAAGTCCCTGTTCAATCCACGTCTCCACTTCAGATGAACCTGCAAAGCCATGAGGTGGGTCCTCGGGGTAGACACTCCGATGCTTCAGTCAGCAATAATCGGATCTACCTTTAAAATAGTAGAAAAAGGAGCTTTAGGTTGGTTTCAATTACCTTTTTGAGGTGGCCCCTAGGGGGTATTTATAGGCCTTGGTGAGGTGTCCACATGGTTTTCTTAACAAGATAATCGGAGTGTGACATGTCCCTTTAGGCGATAATTTCAGGACCAAGAAATCATGTGTGGTAAATTAGGTGTGGGCATGTTCACTGTATTTATCGTGTAGCCATTTGACCGGGAAGTACTGAATTTAACTTCACTATGGTTATTGAGGAACTATAGCAGTACGTCCGAGGTTATGAACCTCGGACCTATCCTTACATTTAGTCTTAATAGTTTTATTACCCACTTTATATATTCTCATTCTTTAATAGTTTTTCTTATCAAATGTAAGATTTCAATTCACTTATCATCATTGTAGAGTTATGATATTTTGCTGTTCTTTCTTTCCTTTCTTTTTTTTCTTGGTTTGCATTTTTATTTTTTTGTTTAAATTTAGGGAAGTGATTACCTAATCAAGTGTAGCCATTTACATTATTTTTGAAATTGGATTTTATATAGATAGTTAGTTTTGACATTCACAAAATATCATCAATTTTTATTTGATTGCTAGAGAACATTGCTTCAACAATAGAATTTAGAATTCTAGGTAGCTTGGTTTCATTTTTTTTTCTCTCTTTTTTATTTCTTGTTTTCTTACAACCTTAAAGAAAGCAAATAATTTATTTAGAAATGCAATAGACAACTAGCAACTTATTTGATCACATTATCATTATTCAATGTAGTTTATTAAAAGTAAAATGTTGTTTTATATTTTATTATTTGTTTCTAATAATAAATTTTTAACTATTATTTTTTTCTTTTAGAACCTAAATACATCCCAACAAAGTAAGTTAGAAAATCCTAATTAATTACATTTATCTATCTTAATTAAGGTAATTAATTTTATATAATTGTTTTAATTAGAGATTAATAAATATAATTAATTAATTGATTAATCCTAAATTAACCATTCAATTAAACTAACTATCATGATTAAATAATTCTAAGTTGTCTACTTTTCCCTACTTAATGTCAAAATTAAAGAGTCAAATTTATTTTTTGTTGAATTTTAATTTCACCCAAAACCTTCTGTGATCAAGCAATTTAGTCCAAAAATTTTAAAAATGTTCCAAATTTATCCCCATATACTATTTTCCTCTAATTAGTCCTTTAACTTTTGATTTGTTGTGATTGTTGATGCTTCTCTCTTCCTTTGTTCAAATTAAGTCGAAAGGGTTTCAAGAATTGCAATTTCATCCATTTATTTTTCAAGTTGACTTAATCAAGACCAATAAGTTGTATCAAACCCTAATTTTAAATATGCAACCATGTTTTACATGGAAAATTGTGAGATGCATATATGCTTTTCTTCACTCTTAGCCAAACCCTCGAATCTTAATTTTTGCGCATACTATTTTTATGTGATTTATCACATCTTATAATTTGGACAAGTGGTGACTCCCAATTTTCTTAATCTTTCACATTTAATTTATTTTCATTTTTATTTTTTAAAATTTTAAGTGGTTGGTAATAGCTCCCAACTAGCAAATTAGTCCATGGTAGATTATGCAAGTTCCTAAAGCATAATAATAATTGTCGGTTTTGCTATAAAAATTAATCTTCAAAAGGAAAAGATGAAGCATCATAAGACAAAGGCTCTAGCCTTCAAATAGTGAAGGTGACTTTATCATTCTCTAAAAAAATCTAATGCAAAGAAATGTAAGCTTTTACATCTCACAACATTCAAGTAAAGAAAATGGCATTAGCCATTATATCATAAGATTCCCTAGACATAAGATGTAATATATATACTTTCTTGAAAGTAGGAGATAAGTAGGAGATAAGTATGGACAACCAAACAATAATGTAAAACCTTAAGTGTCAATAATGATGTCGGAATAGATTTTGAGAAGTGCTATAAGAAGACCTCATATAAGTTGTAATAGGTATCAGACTCTTGAACACCCAAATGCCTTACCTAAAATCCCTCAAACATGCCTCTATAAACACTTTCCTCGAAGAAAAAGAACTTTCCCCTTCTCACTTAGAAATAAAAAATGTATGTTATAGAATAATTCTAATGTTTTTATCCTTCCTTATTTCAATAATTGAAAAAAGGAAGAAGAGTTCCTAAAGAACTTCAGGCAATAGTTAGATCACTAGTCCTATCCAGATACCCTTTCCAACCAAAGTGTAGCTTTGTCCATTGGATGAACGAAGCTTTTAGCTTGACCAAAGGCTAGACCAAAGATTTTTTCAAGTATAACTCAACCTTTTTTATTATATCATAAAGAAACAAGGTGGGCATGAAAATAGTTTTGTTATTTTTTAACACTAAATTTATTTCAAGAGATGAAGAATCAAAGGGAAATAATAATAGACCTCTAATCTCTTAATAGAAGAAGTCCTTGCTTTTACTGAACTTAACATGCCAATTGCACATTAACTTGTAGTCTGCGTTACATTATGAAACTGTAATATCCCAAAATTTTGGGGTATTTTAGCATTAAATAAGGGATTTATTTGAGAGAATATTATTGAGGGGCTTAATAGCAAAATTTTTAAAAGTTGAGGGGCTAAAAAGAAAGAAATTAGGATAAGGATGAATTGCTTTTTCTTTTTCTTTTTCTTTCTTTCTTCTTCCTTATCCGCGCATCTGCTCTTTTTCTTCTCCCCGATGCTCTGTCCCCCGACCCTCTGCACCCGAGAAGCTCCCCAGCCACAGCCACTCATTTCTGGCCGGGAACACCGGCAAAGCTTGGGGATTTCTCCCTGTTTTCTCGTTCTTGAACCCAGAAATCGCCCCTCTTTGCTGGAAATTCCAGATCTGCGTTGTCTTCTCCCCTCTGTCCGTCGGCCTCCGCTTGTGTGGGTGTGAATTCTCGGCTTTTCTGGTAAGAAACAGCCATGATTTCATCCTTTTAGCTTTGATTTAAGTTGGGTTTGCCTTAATTTCTCTTGGTTCTCCATTTTGGGTTGGTCCCGTGAGTCCCCTGCAGAGAATTCCCGCCGGCTTCTTTCCCTTGCTAGCTCCGGTTCTTGCTGGAAAATTCTGGTATGATGGCCACTTCTTTAAGCCCTAAATTAGCCATTTAATTGCTGCCTTGTGTGTGTCCGAATTGTGCCGGAAATGGGGAGGAATTCCGGTAGCATTCATAGCATTCAAATGTGTTTTAAGCTTGATTAAGTAGAATTTAGCTTGAATTAGCTGCTGTGATGTTTTGTGTGAAAAATCCTGTGAGATTAGCTATGGTTTTGCTAATTTTTGGAAGTGGCAGTACTGTTCACGTCGTGGTACTGTTCACAGAACACTGTTCACGGAACTGTTCACGGCACTGTTCACAGAACACTGTTCACACACCGAGGGTCAACGATTAACGGGGATTTAAATGATTAGTTTGTGATATAAGAATGAATGTGGAGATGTCCAGTTATGTGGAGATTGATAGGAATAGCATCGGGATTAGGAGTGATTTTAATAATGATTTCAATTTGAATTTGTGATAGTCCGGTATTAATTCTGAGGTGTTTTGATTAGGTTCCTGATCGTTCTGTCAGTTAGCATTGAGATTGAGTGCTCGGTTTTGTGCAAGTGAAGTAAGTAAATTATGGTAAAGCCCTTTGATTTTAGAGCATGTTTTAAACTGTTTTTGAGATGGTGGCAAGGTTTTAATTGATTTTAAATTGATTTTACCAGCACTTGAGTGTGATTAACTGAAATGGAAATTGTGATGGTTTTCATGAGAATTTCCTTGTTTTTCTGGAAAATGAGCATGACTGAAATGAAAATGAGAATTTCATTGTTTTCTGGAGTTTAGCATGCCTATTTGGAATTGACTGAATTGTTTTGATGAACTGAGAGTTTGCAAATTTTGAGTTTTCTGTTAAATCCATGGTCACATGGAAATTTTCTGGTTTGTTTCTGAGATTTGAGATGGATTGAGAATTATGGATTTTTGGAAATCCTGCATGGTTTTGTCTCGGATATAGTCATGATTACTGACGCCCGCTAGTGGGAGCTGTAAACGCTAGCACATGTCGACATGTATTTCTGTAGAACCGGTTCGTCCTGCCAATGGGATAAAACACTGGCACTATTACTGACGCCTGCCAGTGGGAGTGTGTAAACACTGGCACTATTACTGACGCCTGCCAGTGGGAGTTGTAAACACTGGCACTATTACTGACGCCTGCCAGTGGGAGTTGTAAACACTGGCACTATTACTGACGCCTACCAGTGGGAGTTTGTAAACACTGGTACCATTATTGACGCCTGCCAGTGGGAGTTTGTAAACACTGGCCATGACTTATAGATGAGACTACTAAACTGAGTTTTCTTCTGCATGTAACGGTTTGTCATGAAACGTTTTGTTATTGAATTGAATTCGATTTCCGCATTAATGGTTTATCATTAAAAGTCTGTTACGCTTACATGGTTTATCTGGCATGCTTCAAAGTTTTACCCAAGGGCTATCTATATTTACTTACTGAGTTTATCTCATAGTTTTCCTTGTCCACCATTTCAGGAAGTGAAAGCGAGGACGGGAAAATCAAGGGGAGTGACAAGTTAGAAGGCTAGCCATTTCGAGATTGAGCATAGATTTAGAAATAAATCATGATCTTGTATTTGGAGATTTTATTGGAGATTTATGATTGGAGAAATTTTAAAGATTTGATCTTCAGATTTTGATGGTATCAGATTGTGTTGTGATAAGTTCCGAGCCTTGTGCATTTGTGGGACCTGTCTCACGAGTGCACGGCGTCTGTCGCGTCTCGAAATTGGGTTTTGGGGAGTGACAGAAACCCTCTTAAAAATTTTGGTATCAAAGCCAATAAGAAAGAATAAAATTAATGTTATTACTAAGAGATTAAAAAAAAATTATTAAGATTTTATGAAAAACAATAGATATTATCGTAAAGATAATAGAAAAAGAAGGTTTTATATCATATAGAACTGATGAGCTACTTTGAGAAAAGCATATGTATGAAATGCATAGACCAACAGTTAAAGAAAAATGAAAAAATTTAGCATTTTAAGCTGAGATACAATTTGAGAAGACAAGAGCTAGTTTTATAGCAAATTTAATTTTGACTAAAATGTCAAGTCAATAAAAAATGAAAGTTACAAATAATGGAGGAAGGTGCATAAAGATCAAACCATAAAATGAAAGGTGCAAACCATATGGAGAAATTATGGAAGGTGTAAATAGTGGGAAAGAATAACATGCACAAGTTGTAAATAGGGTATTAAGGGCATGTTTGGGTTAGTTTGTAAAAGCTTTAACTTTTTTACACTATTCATATTTTATAAATTTAAATTTTCCTTTTAAAAACTTACATTTTAAATTTTTTTTAATCTTAAAAAAACTCTAAATAGTAAAAACTCAAAAATTTCAAACTTTTACTTTTCTTAAATTTCTTTTTTATTTACTTTTTGTTCACTTTTTTTTATCTTTAAAAGCAATTTTTAAATTTTTTCTTCAGTAAAAATTTAAACTTATCACTCATGAATAATACAAAAAAAGTAAAATCTCTTACAAATTAACACAAACATGCTTTAAGCTTAACAGAAAAAGATATAATGGTATTTTAAAATCATTATATAATTGATTTTTTTTAATCAGAGCCTATTATAATATTACATATATCTATTTATGTAATAACATATTATAATTGTAAGTTTATAATTCTATTATAACTATAGCATCACTAATTTATTAATAGTATTTAAAATGAGTCCTCACATTTTAAATTATAGGAGGGCATGAGATTTTCCATTTTTCTCAATTAAAAATTCAGTAGACAAAAATTCATAAACTAATAAAGCTTTGCGTCCCTTCCTTCTTAGAAAAAATCCTAACCTATTATTTTTCATTTTTCTTGAGCGACAGGCTTCTTAAATATGCCTTATCATTCTGAGATTTGTGTAGCTGTCTTGCCTTCAAATTTTTTTGTTTTCTTTAGATTTATAATAAGGATCTTGATCAGTTTTATCTGTTTTTATTGCTAAAATTTTTTTGTTTGAGTTGTCAAAGCAATATATATTATGAATGTATTTCTTATTTAGTTATAAAAAAAAAGGTTAAACCCCTATTTTGGTCCCTGAACTATTGTACGGACCCCCAATTTGGTCCTTGAACTAAAGAAATCCCTAATTTGGTCCTTGAACTATTGTATGGACCCTGAGTTGGTCCCTAAACTATTGTACAGACTTCCAAGTTAGTCCTTAAATTATTGTACGGATGTCCAATTTGGTTCTTACTATTTACCAATTTAACCCCAACTTGGTCCTTCTGTTAAATAATAGCTCAATGACCAAATTGAGGCGAAATTGTAAACAGTAAGGACCAAATTGGGGGTCCGTATAATAGTTGAAGGGCCAACTTAGGCCAAATTATAAACAGTGGGGACCAAATCGGGGTCCATACAATAGTTTAAGGACCAAATCAGGGATTTCTTTAGTTCAGGGACCAAATCTGGGTCCGTACAATAATTCAGGGACCAAAATGGGGATTTAACCTAAAAAAAATGTTCAGTGGACAATTATTTAAGCAGCAAGAAATAAACAAACCCGCCAGTGACCAGTCTGTTCATACCATCCTCTTCTCTTTCCCCAAAGATTTTCCCTTTTAAAATTCAGAGAATCCGAAACCAGAAACTGCAGAAAATCCATGGCTTCCATCTCAATATATTCTACCAATTCCAACCTTATCGGTAGTTCCATCTTCTCTGCAAGAAACTATCAGTCGTGTTCTTCAGCATTTGAATCAACTTCGTTTACCTCCAAATCCTCCACGGCGACCTCGCTCTCGCTATCTGTCAACGAAACCCGAAGGATCCGGCCCAGATCCGTTCGGTTCTCCGTGGTGGATGCAGCGGTGAACACTAATAATCATTTTGATGTTGTGATTGTCGGGGCGGGAATTATCGGGTTGACGATTGCCCGCCAGTTTCTAATCGGGTCGGATCTATCCGTTGCTGTCGTTGACAAGGCCGTACCTTGTTCCGGCGCTACTGGTGCCGGTAAGCAGCACTTCGAAACTTTTCCTCTCTATGGTTACAGGGAAACTGTAATAAAATGGAAAGAAACCGCTATCATTTGTAGTTCAGCATTTGCAAAGTGTCTGATTCCTATCTGATTGCTTTACTAGGTGATCAAAAGTAAATTAAAACAAAAATAAACCTTTACGACTTAGTAAAGCTTAGGGGTTCAACAGGAAAAGAACTTTTACTCTTTTAGATGAGTCATGAATGATTTATAATCTGAAAGCATCAAATAATGGTGTCGCTATAGCATATATAGTTATTTGAGAATTTAGGGTCTCTCTTTACGATAGTTTGTTGCCAAATTCTGTTTTTAATCTTGCTAGAGCACCGGATTAAGTAATAAGCTTGTGTGTGTATTTATTTTGGAGTTTGTTAGTTTCCTGGTTGTTGGATATCTTCACTTTCAATTTGGCATTTGAGCCTGTTCTAGGACAGGGCTATATATGGTTGGGAAACAAAACACCCGAAAGTGATACATGGGAGCTAGCAAAAAGAAGCCATCGGCTTTGGGAGATGTTGGCGAAAAGGGTACATGAAGAAGGAATGGATCCTCTTGACGAGTTGGGTTGGAAGAAGACAGGTACTGTGATTGTGCCTGTTGCACTCCTCTTTTTCCATGGCAAATTTAACTCATCTCATATTATTTGGTGGAACGAGGCCAAGTTCTTATCTTTTGTTTTCTGCCAGATATGTTTGTACTTGATTAGGTGAAAATTGGATGTACTAGCTTTCTATGTGGTGGCTTTGAAAGATAGTTATAATCCAGTTTCCAAGCTATATTATCTATAATATGGATTTTTTTTTTATTAGCCAACAAAAATATATCTATAATAATATGGATATGTTAAATTGATGTTTCAATTTATTGGTTTTGGGGCATTGTTTAAAGCTTCTGAATGCAATGGCTGAACAAATGTAGGTATAGAGAGGGTGGCAAAAGTTCATTAAATGTTGTAAAATGCATGCCCTTTCTTCTTTATTTTTTTGAAAAATAATCATTGCAGACAAGAAAAGTTACTTTGCTTAGAAGTAGACATAATCCAGCTTGATTAGTTTCATTAAGGTTGAAGGTACTTTTAATAGCTTGAAACAACTCCCATTCTGCAATATCTTCTTTCTTTCTTTCTTTCTTTTTTTTTTACAGAAATAGAAATATTACTTGGTTTATGATTGGCAAGATTCCTAGTTTTATATGAACCATAATCAGACTCCTTTGAGTTCTAAGTTAATTAATGATTCTCCTTTTAACAGATGCTTTTCTGTTTCATCACTCATTTTGGTTTGGTTTTTTATGCTTGGTACTATTTGATTAGTTATGGTAAAGTATTACCATTGGCAACAAAAAAACAAACTTTCAACTATAGCAGCATGTTTAGTCCTAAAGCTTTCATATAATAAGCCTTTAACCTTCAGGAGTTATGTAAAAGACACGACATAATAATGCAGCCATTAAAGAGCTATGTTCTATATTATGTTTGGCAATTCTCTTGTTAACACTCAGTTTATGGGTTTTTTATTTTTATTTTTATTTTTTAGTTTTTGGCTAAGGCAGTTCATGGTTTATCTTGTGGATTTTAAGTCCTTTCAAATCAAGGGGCAGAACTGTAAATTTTGCAATTCCTGTATTCTAAGTGAAAAATTGAGTAAGTATATGGATCTAAGGTGCACATGGACTGACAAATTTAGGAATGAAAAAGCTCTTAGGTCATGTTTTGACTTGGTTTAGTGAAGATTTGATAAATCCATGGACTTGAGTAAAATGTTATAATCCCTTAATCTCAATTTGTTACTCAGAAATTTAAAATAAACTGTAATTTTAAACCTCTTCTTTAAATTCAAAATTCAGAAACTAATCCAAGTGAATTTGCTCATCACTTAGCTGTTCTATCAAGCTTCATATATTGACATAATCTAAATCCTAATGTGAATAGAATAAAATAATTCTGAGAACTATAAAGGAAGAACCAGTAATGATAAAACTAGTATCAGACTCAAAATACACGCCTGCCACTGACTGAAAAACATGGTATTGGTGATATTTTGAATATAGATGGAATATCATAGTCAATATATTCTCCATATTCTGATCTTCAGAAAAATGATGCTATATGATGAAATGCAATTTGAATAAGCAGAACTTTCTTTTTTAAAATTATTAAATTTAATTGTGTATGCTGAGTTGAAAGTCATGGCATCATATTCACATGGCATTATTTTGCAGGAAGCTTGCTTGTTGGTAGAACCCTTGAAGAATCCATCATGTTAAAAAGGAGAGTTAACCAGTTAACTGAAGCTGGCTTAAGGGCAGAATATTTATCAAGCATTGATTTGCTTTCAAAGGAGCCTGAGCTTTTTGTTGGCAATGATGGTGGTGCTGCGTTTTTTCCTGATGATTGCCAGTTGGATGCATGTCGTGCTGCCTCATTTATTGAGAAGGTCTTTCAATTTCTTCAGTAATATTTTGCTTGAGTTTTGTTCTCATTAAATAAACAAGTGGGCTGAATACATGGGTTCCAACCTAAAACCAATTGGCATTAGGTGGAGTAGCCCATACTATATTTAAGTCGGTCATTCTTCTTTTATTCTCTCAATGTGGGACTTTTACCCACTTAACAGCTCTTAATATTATTATCTGCTTTGTTCCTTCTTTTCAAATAAAGGGAAGATTTCCCTTTATTTGCTGCTTGACATAGGCTCTGTTGATATACAGGCTAACAGACAATTTGCATCAAAAGGTAGATATACTGAGTTCTACAATGAGGCAGTTATAGGTTTAATAAGGTTTGCTATCTTCTTTTTGCTGCTGCATGAAAAGTTACGCTGAAACCAAGCAAGTGAAAAAGTATACTATCCTTCAAAAGTTAACCAGAATTCATGAAGCTGTTGATTTGAAAATAGAAATGGAATTTGTGTAGATGACCTAATTCTTTTGTTGTGCAGATCCATCAGCAGTGGGGATGTGGAAGCTGTTCAGACATCAAAAAATATGCTGTATGGTAAGAAAGCCATTGTCTTGGCAGCTGGCAGTTGGAGTGGACTTTTGATGGAGGATCTGGTTAGGGGTTTAGACATTACACTGAATGTACCTGTAGAACCTCGGAAGGTCAGAATTTAAGATCTAAACCAATTTATGTTTGCATTGTTTATTGTTCTATATCTTGCCACATTTGTAGTCGTATTACACTTCTATATAGCCTTCTATAATTTTTTATCAGCTAAAAAATTATTTATTCATTCCATAGTACAGGTGGTACTTCAAATAGAACCTTCTATATAATCCCATTGTTCTAATCTTTTGAATTCTCTGATCTAGGGAAATCCAAGAGGATTCCAACTACAAACAGGCAAACTGCTCTAGATGATGATAATTAAGAAAGAAACATATCCTTAATCTAAACTAGTTCCTCTTGTTTGAGAAAAGGATAAAATGCTAATAGTTTCTTCTCTCTCTCTCTTCTTCTTCTTCTTCTTCTTCTTCTTTTTAATTAATTAACAAAATAAAGTGCTAATAGTTCCAAATTGTGAATTCAAGTGATGTTTCTAAGTTCCAATTCTCTGCTTGGTGCTCCTGATTTGATTGTCTCAAGCTTTTCCATGGATAATCACTCTCTAGATAATAATTTGCTGGTAGCCATCTAAATACATTGAATACCATTTTGGCCTTTAAAAATTGCATATTCCTAGGAAACTTCTGTAGGTCAATTGAACATTCCTAAGCAGGAATGTTTTTATCCTTACATTTTTCAATAAAGATTCTTTTTGTCTTTACATTTGAATGAGCTCATTGGTTAAAGGGATAGAATTCTATAATGCCTAAAAAATGCTGTATCGCACATAGCTTCGACATTTTTGGGAAGCAAAGTTCACAGTACAAATGATGTATTTTTTTGTACATATGATACTGCCTTTTCTTATGGCCTAAAAAAAACTGCCTTTTCCTTGAAGAAAACAAAATGGATAGGACTGAAAGATTTTAAGAATTTCAATAATGTGATTTATCTGATATGATTTCCATGCATTGTTGTCCTTGACTTTCTAGTATTTGATCTTCCCAGCAGGGTCACCTTCTTGTGCTTGAAAACTTCAGTTGCCTTCAATTGAATCATGGGCTGATGGAAATGGGTTATATTGATCATCAAGTTGTAAGTTTGACTTCAGGACATGAAGATCAGAGACAAACCCTGTTTGTTTCAATGACAGCTACAATGGATCTAATGGGAAATCTTGTTCTGGGTAAGATTTTGCTCTCATTATTCTCCAATCACAGTGAATAATATTTTGATTTCCAGTTGGATAGGTTCTGTACATTTAGTGTCCTTTCTTTTCTTTTTTTTTTAAGTTTTAATTTTGTAGTAATTGATCAATGTCTAGTAGGCCACAAAAGCGAAGGTCTTCAAATGTGGTGGTAAACGAAATTTTGTAGAATACTTTTGTTTTTACCAAGATCCAAGAAGATCTTTGGAGCTCAATAAGCCCTCACAGGGTATGGGAAATCAAAATAATATTTACTTTGATATTTCTCAAATTTCTTTGATTTTCCTTCCTCTTTTCCATTTTCCATTCAATGATTTATATTAAGGCTTCACATCATATTTAGCCTGCTATAGATTTTAAGGTTATTGGCCCCTCACCAAAAAAATTAAGGTTATTAGGCCATCAACAACACAATTTGGGGGATATTCATCCTTGTGCTGATGGATTTAAGGTGTGCTTCTCACATGCACGTTAGTCAGGTGTCATGCCCATTCCACTTCGCGACACATCAGCATCCTCTCTTCTACTTGGTATGCCATCGTGGCAATGAGCAGAAAATTCCCACCCTAGGCCCCACTATTATTGCTATTATGGCACACCATTTAGGAGAGAGGATGCTGATGTGTCACTAAGTGGGATGGGTATGACATCTAATTAATGCCCACTAACACCCATGTGAGAAGCACACCTCAAATCTGTCAGTACAAGAGTGAATTTCCACAAATTGAGGGGTTAATAACCTTAAATTTTTAAGTAGGGACCAATAACCTTAAAATTAAGTTTGGAGGTTAAACCCTTTATATTAATAATAATGGTGCTCTATAAAAAATAGATGACAAAAGGAGTTATCTTATTGTTAATAGTGGCCTACAATTTATATTGTATGTAATGTTTATGAGTGTGTTTGCTGACCATGCTTTGTTACCTCTTTTTTTAGCTGTCTTGGTGCTAAGGTTGTTCTTAATGTACAGTGTGCTACTAATCATGTTAATAGTTGTTGAACATGCTTCCCATTTTTTCAGTTCTCTTTTCCATCTTGTAGGGAGCAGTCGTCAATTTTCTGGGTTCAACATTCAAGTAGATGAGTCTGTTGTTCTTAGTATATGGAAGAGGGCTGGAGACTTCTTCCCAAAATTAAGAGAACAGTCCTTGACAGATTTCATCAAGAGCAGAAAAGTGAGAATTGGGTTACGGCCTTACAGTAAGCCCATAAACCTTTGGAACTTGTGAATTATTTTTTGTCATCAAAGTATAATGATTGGATATTCATACCAGTAGGAAGAGTTTGATTTGCCACATTCAAAATTCCTGGAATGATTGTTACATTACTTGTTTAGTGCCTGATGGGAAGCCTGTGATTGGGCCTGTGCCTGGTTTGTCAAATCTCTACCTTGCAACTGGGCATGAAGGAGAAGGACTTACTTTGGTAATTCTTCACTACCTCTACTTTCTTTTGGAAAATCAAAAAAATTGATCTGAGTACATGAAAATTGATATGTGGATTTCAAATCAAGGTTTACATCTAATCTAAAACCAATTGACAATGAGGGGAGTAACCCTCCTTGTAATTAGGTCACATGTTTTTTTATGTTATGCTCAATGTGGAATTTTTACACTCAACACACCCTTTCACGTGCAGGCCCAAATTAAACGTCAAGTCTTGTCATATGGCATAATATCTCCCTCTTATATGCAGGCCCAATATGGACTTGGAGTCCTGTCGGGCGAACTAACAATATGCTTCCTAAAAATGGAGTTTAGGCTCTAATGCCATGAAAAAATTGTGAGTTTCAACACAAGACTTGCATCCAATCTAAAACTAGTTAGCAATGGATAAAGTAGCCCTTGTATTTAAACCACATGTTTCTTTGTTTTATGCTCAATGTGAGATTTTTCCACTCAATACTAACACCCAACATCCAATGTTATTTAGTATAATAATTTATCTCTGTATTTTGTCATTCAAAAAAAAAAAAAAAAATTCTGAGCAAATTTTGAGGAATTCTTCTATGTTAAAGTTAGTTTGTCACTTGCTAGTTCTTTACATTTTAACATAGGTATTGCCACATAGGTAAGCATCTAACCTAAATCAATTAAATTGGAGTAGTGACATTATTTTTTTGGCCCTGAGTAGCTGGCATTATAGGTAAGTCAATAGATTTACCCTTAATTCACCGTATGATTTTATCACTTAACACAATGCTCCACATGCAAGCTCAGAATGGATGTTGTCCTGTCACATGGGCTAACCCACAGCTCATCAGTCTCAGTCAACCTCCCCTGGGTTGTGTGCATCACCAGCTTCAAGCAACCTCCCCTGGGCTGCAGACCAACAGGCTTGATATAAAATGTGGCCTGGGCTCTGATATCATGAAATTGTGAAAAAGAGATGGAGACAAGATATGTACTTAGGGTTAATACAACATTGGAGAATCACTTAGCATTTATGTTTAAATTTTCAGGCCTTGAGCACTGCTGAGATGGTTGCTGATATGGTACTGGGTAACACTCCTCATGTAGACAGAGCTCCGTATTCTGTTCAAGGCCGATGTTGCTTGTTTAATGTGTGCTGAAGAGGGAATTCTGAGGAACAATCATCATGGATATGTTTTTCGACTAAATATTTAGCAGCTGATGTTATAAAATTAGCTTGATCTCAGAAGTTAGAGCTAAATACTGAATTGTGCTGCTAATTAACTGCAGCACTGGAGACAATCATAGCGTTTAGGGGGTACATCTATGGGTGGTTTTATTTTATTTCAACTACCAACCTTTTGCCATGCTTACTTCCTATAAATACTTGTATAATTTGTTCTGAACATATTTGCAAGATTCATCAATCTGTCCTTGTTATGAAAACTTGAAATGTTACAGACTGTTGGCTATCCAAAATTTTTCAATCACTGAACTCGTCCCCTAACACTTCCTCTTATTTCATCGCCATTCAATGGCCTAGGACATCGGTCCATGCCGCTCACCAAATAATCACAGCTAAAGAGTAAATCCTTACATGGTTTAACACCGTCTGTTTCCGCCAAAATCCTCTCTTGGCTGCTCGTGGCAAAAGTACTTAGATGTGCTACTTGTTTTGCTCAAATTAAGAAACAAGAATTTGCAATAACCCTCACTTCTTCCAATTGTTGGGACTGGTTTAAAAGTATATGGAAGAAAGTCATTTTATTGAAAGATTGCCCCAATAATACCTTGACTATATTAGACAATTGTTGTAGCAACAAGGTGCATTCCTACATGAAGGTTCAAAAATAATTGTCTTGGAAGAACATTAGGGACTTCTCAGAATTAGAGTCACTTCGAAGTCAATTTTATTAATCAAAATAGGTAGAAATAAGAAAGGGAGAGAAATAGTGCATGATAGAAATAAACGATGATCTAAAACTAAGGTAATGGAAAAACATGAAACTAAAGAGTGTGATACATATCTTAAAACTTAACTAGAATTGGAAACTAAGAGTATTAGCAGAAATGAACTAAAGAGGGTGACATAACTGTAAAAATTACCCATTGGCAAAAATGTAAAAGGCAATGTGACAAGCTGGGAATTAAATCACTAGGCAGAACTTATATAAAGATGGTAGAAATGTAAATGTAAAGAATTAGCTATAGGTAGAAGTGAAATAAAACTAACATATTTATCTAAAATCTTAAAAAGAATTGCAACTGAAGGCATAAACATAAATGGCTAAACCAATATTTGCACCCCACACATTTTTTTTTCTACAGTCAACACCCTAAATTAATTTTCCTCCCAGTCAACATCCTCCATAATTTAAAATACGTAAAGAACCCTGACTTTGTTGGTAATTTGAGTTTTTCACAGGTTTCAAATTATGAAGGGTGTTAACCGGGAGAAAAATTAGTTTAGGGTGTTGACCGCAGAAAGAAAAAAAGTCTAGGGGGCAAATAAGGTGCTTTGGCCAACATAGCATAAATTTGCCAACAAAATAGAAACTAAAAACTAGATAATCGGGCAAAATTGTAAACTATAGGCGAAAATATGAAATCTGTTGGCAAAAGAAGAACAATAATATTAAATTTAACTGTTGGAGCTAACTTAACCAAAAACAACAAAAACAAAGAATCTGTTGAGGGAGTTAAACCTCTTTTATACTAACAAGTTGTAGTATTGTTATAGGAGCTATTCATGAACTAAAACAATGTTGGATTAAGACATGCTGAAATGTAAATGTTGTTGAGAGGGACAAGCCTTTTGAACTTTGTCTTGAAATCTTATATTTATTGGTCTCCATAACTTAATCAATTTGCCAAAAATCTAATCTAATCATGATTTTCTCGAATTTCCATGCTATCAAGTTTGACCAAATCAAATGGAATCTCAACAACTTTGAATCATTCCTTACAAAATAGACTTCTACCTTCTGTAATTTTAATTGTTAGAAGGGTAGTGCTATATGGATAACTTATTTATACTACCTTTGCATATAACTTTCACAAGTCATTGAAAAAGTGGATGCATTTAATATCACGTGTTCCACATAAATTAAAAGAACCAACCATTTCAATGACATGTCAAGTTGTACAAAAAAATTGTGCAAAAATCATTTCCCCTTGCTAGAAATAGAATTTTAGTTGTTAAAGATCCCTAAAATCATGCTTCTTTGAACCATTTTTATTTTTTTAACTAAACCAAATTGCTCAATATCATATCAGCAACTTCCTGATTTTTTGGAACAACCAACCTTCTCCTTTCTATTGTTGTCACATGATAGAAATTCATTGCACTAGAATTTCTCTTTATTGTAAATTTCACCACACCAAATCATGGCTATTGATTATTTTTAAATTCCCAATTGTATGAAAAAAATTATGGTAATTAAATCTTTATTAGGGAAACGTAACATTATCCAAAAAAAAAAAAAAATGTCAAGTGTGGTGTAAACACCATCATTGCACAAGCATGTGTCCAGTTCATACACCTTGAAGCTATGAGGGACTTTGTCTTCAACCCCCCTCTAATTTTAATCCACAAGAAAAAATTGTGCGAGCTAAATTCCCTCCAGTCCATACAATACTAAATGAGTACACTTTTGGACAATTTTAAGAATATTAAACCAATACACTCTTGAATTATTTTGACCTTTAATTTTTGGTCTTGAAATAGTCCCTGAATTTTGAAAATAAATATTAATTTAGTTCTTAAATTTTGAAGATAAGTACCAACTTAATACTTAAATTTTGATTACAAATATCAATTTAATTTTTTTAATTTTGATTACATATTAATCTAATATGTAAATAAAAATATATAATAATGACAAAAATATGATAATTTGATTTTATATATCATTAATATTTTTAAAAAGAATTAATTTTGTAACAAGATAATAAGTCACGTGATGCTTCTATTAATAAAATGACTATTTTGATATTGAAAAATAAAACTTATGGATAATTTTGGTAGTTTTTTAAGTTGAAGGACAATTTTGATATAAATTCCAAAGTTAGGGGACTAAATTAATATTTTAAATAAAAAATGGTGACTATGATGTAAATTACTTAAATAATTTAATAATAACCTCTTTCAAATTTAAATTATATAACAAAAAAAAGTTAAAAAATAAAAGAATTTTAGCTATTATTATGCAACTAAAATTAAATAAAAAAAAAGGAGCAATCCTAATTAAGAAAAAAAAATTGGTTGCACGACTTAATATGTAAATTTAATTATATTTTTAAGATCTGTGTAGGTTTTTTTCTCTCGTGCTTTGCCTAAGGTTGAGGGCGACGGCTACGGATTTCTCCCAAGGGTTTCTCTCCAACAAAGAGTTTCTTCTTTCTCAACTGTCTTCTTCCTTTCCCTCCTTGCTCTTGATTTCTTCGTTCCTTTTAGCTGACTGTCTTGCTTTGAAAACTTTAGCCTAAGAGATCATAAGGCAGCGGCATCTTTCGATCTATATCTACTATCGATTTTTGAAGGTTGTGGTTGAATATCGAGGGACATGATCTCATTGGTGGATTTGGGCTTCTCTTATTCACCGGATTAGAATCTTGCTTTGACATATTTTCAATTTCGGATGAGATCTTGGCGGGGGTTGCATTTAGAAAACCTGGTGCACTCCAATTTTCGGAAAGGCAATGACATCCTTTGATCTACATTAGAGAACCTAGTGCACTCCAATTTTTGATCTGGTAATTGAATACAGAAGGACAAGGATGCTATGGGTAACTTTGGTTCTAGTGCTATTAGTCTTCTAAGGAAGTGTATGTTTTTGCACTAGTTTTGCTTTTGTCGGCCACCTGAACATGAAACAAACTAGACATTTTCTGCTTGGACAGAGCATTGTGGTGCTGGGAGACACCGCATCGCCAAGTCCCCTGATCTCCCGTGCTAGGTTTGATGGAAAAATAGATGTGATTACCAGCAACGCTGTAAGCTCTGATGTAGTCTTTTTATGTTATCACATAACTCTATTGATGCCCCTATTACATATACTAGTATTTAGAGGTTCCCATTTCTTAATTGTTCCGTTTGTATGGAGCATCAAACTCTCTATATTAGTGTTATAGGTTTTACCTAATTTATTTATCTCTTTTGCATAGTCTATATGGCATGATATACTCTACACTGTAATTACTTTTCAATTATTAATCCAATTATACATTTTATCAAAATAAAATAAAATTTAATTCGATTTAATTTAAATAATTCATGTATTTTTACATTTTTTAACTGTAATCACTATAAGTAATCAAAATTGAACAAAATCTTGTTTAATTAAACAAAAAAATTGATTGTTCTAAAAGACACGTTCTCCGAAGATCATCTTCTTCGGAGCTGAGCTGATTTTGGGTTTCCCAATCCCGATAAATTCTGGTTTCCTCGCGACTTTGTAGTCATGTCAGCAAAACTCCGAAGGTCTTAAGCCCACTATTGTAGACCATTCTTCTTACAGGTTCTTACAGGTTCTTTAGATTGAGGGAGATACAGAGAGAGAAATTTTTTTTATTTAATTGTAAAAAGAAGGAAAAAATTACTTAATGATGCTTTCATTAAGCTTTCAATTTTTATTTAGTGAAAATATAATTTTAAGTTTTATGTAAGTGAAAATATTGTATTTAAATTTATTACAAGTGTATTAAAATTTTATAAGATGCCTATATTACCTTTTTTGTATAATAATTAAAATATTATATTATAATTATTGTAATTTTTTTGAAAAAACAACAACAATCATAATGGGTAATAAACGGAAAAAGATAAATTATTTAACTAAAATCTTCTATCCATCCTCAATTTTTTTATTAAGGATAATAAAAAAATTATTTAAAATTTCTTAAGTTGTGAAAAAGAAAAAATGAAATATTTTAGGAATGAGAGAGTAATTAAAAGGGCTCATTTATCCAAATATTTAAATCCTTAATCATTAATTGAATCACTACAAATGAATTTTTAATTGAATTAATAAAAAAAGAATTTGTAACATCATGTAATTTGAAATTTATTGAATTATGCCCACTGGTAATGATGAACAAGGTAACGAGAGAAACAAGAGAGAAATTTTATTGTATTTTGTAAAATTTCAGTAATTATATATAATTAATATTAATAACAATTTGATATTTTAATTATTACAAAAAAGGGTACTATAGACATTGTACAAAATTGAGAAATTTATGATAAATTTAATTAGAGTATTTACACCCATTAAAGACTTGAAAATGAGTTTTAATCAAGAAAAAAATTGAAAATTTAATGAATACACTGTTAAATAATTTTTTTAAGGAAATAAAATGAAAGGAAGGAAAAAATTTTCTTTTATTTTTATTTTTTTAATTTAATTACTTTTTCAAATAAAGAGAAAAAAAGGAGAAAAATAAAATAAAATAATTTCCCTCTCTTCTTTTTCCTTTCTTTCCATTCTTCTTAATCATCTAAAGATAAGGTTGAAGTACAAGAAATCCAAATTGGTGCACTTCAACAGACCAAAAAATCTGCAAAAGTCAGGGTTCTAATAACAATCAAATTAAATCTGTAAAAGGATTTAAAAAATGACAAAGTGAGATTAATAGATTACACAAGCCATACATCATAAACATGATTAGCAGATTTCATCAATTCAACGAAATTCCACTGTGCAACATTGAGGAACCTAGACGAATCTCGTCTATTGTGCAAACTCGAAACTGCAACAGAGTAGGACAAACTGAAATAAGATAGAGGTGGGGGAATTAAAAAATAAAAAGAAAAACATAATTTTCTATCTTAAAGAACTGTTCTCTCAATGCTGAAGAAGGGAGAATGAAACAGACCAGAAGATTTTGGCTTTTATGTACCTCTTCTTGGTCTAATATTAGTAAGACAGAGATCATCAGAGCCAATTACAATCAAGAAAGAGGAAACATTGCAAACTCTAGCCACTAAGAAGAATAAAAAGAGCAATCAGAGTAGGAGAGTGATTCTTTTAATCTTTTATCAGTGGGATCCTAGCTGCCTGAAAGGAGCAACCATGACTCTGAGGGATGGGTGATTTAAGTGATCAAGGATGGTTGCCTGCACATTGTGTCCTTTAGGAAAAAAAGGAGAAAATTTATGTTGAGGTTATAATGCTTAGAAAAAAATAAAAATTAAGATATTTTAATATTTAAAATGTCAAAAATTTTTATAAAATTATTTTTATATCTTAATAAATTATTTTTATATATTAATTTATTTAAAATATTTAAATAATTTCATAAAATATTTTAATATTTTGATTATCAAAACCTTATAATTTTCTCTTACCCCTAATATTTAAGGGGCATACAAGGGTACATAACTTTATGTAACGGATTAGGCAAGGTGTGTAGATGCTATCAAAACCTTATACCTTACTCTAGAACAAAACTACAAATACGAAAGAAATACCCAACCTTGTTAGTGCCTTCTCATCCCAAGTACTCAACATTGGGAGGAGAGTCTTTGGAACTGGCGATTTCAACCCTCGACAGACTCTCCTCCCAAATCCACGGTCTTCCCTCTCTATCTCCCCATATATTCACCAGATCCTCTGCCACGGCTACCGCCACCGCATCCAAGAAGGTCGCTAATCGAATCGTAAAGCGCTTCGCCAACGATCAGGAGTGGCAGAAGCGTCAGGTTGTCGGGCTAGCGGGCCAGACCCACCTTCGTGCTCTCGCCAACGGAGGACTGATCGACCCTGCATCCCACCGCCTCGAGGAGATCGACGCGTGCTCGGCCGAATGCGAGGTCAACATCGCTGAGGAATGGCTCGAGAAGCTCCCGCCTCGCAGCTACGACAAGGAGTACGTCTTGAAGCGCAATTCACGGGCTCGCGTCTTGAACAAGCACTCACGTCTCGGCTGTCAGGTCCTGCTCACGCCTGAGCTCCAAGGTATGGTTGTTGCTGTCCCCGAGCCTAAGCCGTGGGATATTCCATAGGATTAACAATTTCTTTTCCTTTTTTTTCTCTTGTGGTATTTTATTGGGGTAATAAGATTAACAATTTGGGACTTGAGAACATGTTTATTTTTGCCTTTTGTTCAGCACCCATTGTATGAATTTTTAATGTTAGTGAGAGACGACAATTTTATGTTAGTTTGCTGAAATTGGTTAAGAAAATATTAGAAATCAAATTGTAAGAAAATTTACTATCCTGCCTACTACCCTTTGGTATTGGTGCCTTTGGACTTGCTGTAAATTCATTATCCTGCTAGAACCAAATGCACTACCTTACCCTTTACCCATTGCACTAATAATAGTCATTGGATGTATTAATTTCAACATTTCATTTCGGAAACATAGTTGGTTCTGGCTTATCATTTGTGCTTTGGCTGTAGATATCTTGAACTGAATAAATCTCGAGATGAATCTAACATTATTGAGTCATGAAATAATGAAGTATATCATATGGAACTTGGAATTCCTTGTGGTATGGTCAGTTTTGTGGTTTGTCAGTTGTTCAAGTGGGAATGATTCTGTTGGAACAGGGTAATGCATACTTGTGCAGTAAATTATTATTAAAGCATTTTTGAGGTTATTTCTCAAGATTAGTATTGGCTAGTTGAAAGAAAGGTTCTGATACAAATGAAATGCAGATTTAGTCTATTCATGACTAAAGAAAGTTGCTTGGTTTTGAGCGTGACTGAAATTTCAGATACTGGAAATGCTTATCAAAATATGCGAGATTGTAAAATTGAAATTTCTTTGTTCTTTGAGGGAAAGATATTATCCTATGGAAAGCATTCTTCATACATCAATGCTAGGGTTTATGTTTTTAATAATTCATCCATTAATATTGGTTACTTTGTTGATTGCTTTTGTTGAGAAAAGAATCTGCACAGTATTCAAATGAAATGTGTACATGGATGTTTTGTTACAAGAAGATGTTGCTCTCATTGTTCCTCAGATAACGTTTTAGAAATCCATCATGTCTTGCATGATCTTACTCTTAATATAGTTTTCTACGCACCTAGGTTAAGCTTGGGAATGCCCCGTTGATTGCTAGCAAATTTCATGCACTATGTATTAGTTTTGTTATATGGCTCCATATCAATTTTGTTTAGATGGGATTGCATAGGCGAAGAGGCCAATTTAAAGCTATATGGCTTTTTTGGATTGTGTGAGTAGACCATCATGCTACAAAAAATTTGATTTGTCTGGCTAATGACCTAGATCATGACAGAAACCATATTTAACATCCAGTTAATTGGTTCACCATATGACACCGTCAAACATTTAGTGTATTTTTCAACTGCACTAGCCATTGAGTATTAGCTTAGTTGCAAAAGTGTAGTTGAGGCAAGGACGATTCTAATTAAGATTCAGATTTTATAGCTTAGAAAGGAAAAGTAGCATAGCAGTTGCATCTCCCATAATTTTTGTGATGTACTAGTCTGCTATTACATGTAGACAGTGAAGGGCCTATTTCCAATTCTCAAGCTACAATGTATTCTATTCAAGCCCCTGTAAGAGTGGAGATATTGATGTCTGCTAACTATTAGGATGGAGATATCCCTTAGGGGACATTCCAGTAGTTAAGAAATTGAGTCTCTACACTACAAGAATTCACTGTGTCACCGACGAGCAGCCATGTCGGAAACAAGAGGGAATCTGGTCGGTGAAGTCCTATACCCACTTGAATCACGTCGGTGTTGGGTTGCTCGGTGAAGCTGGGCTCGGTGATTCAAACACCGACCTAGATGGAAATCACGTTGGTAAACTAACCCATAATTATCGACAAAGAACATCTTGGAAAAAGGGAGCCGGAACACTTCACAGGAAAACATCTCGGGTTCCACGTCGGTAAATCACCGACAAGCATAATGTCTGCATGTACACAGCAGCCTCGTGCCCAGCGCCTAACACCGACGAACCTCACGTCTGACAATCCAGGAAAACCGCTTCGCAGTTTGAGCCATGTTAGTAAATCACCGACAAAAACCACGTCTGAACTACACAAAAATCTTCCCCCCTCGTTTAAATGATCTCCAAAATTTTAGGCGCCAATTTTTTCAGGTGCCATTTTTTGATTTTTGTTTTCCTAATTACCGACGAGAATCACGTTGGTAATTGAATATGAAAAAATAAAAAAAAATATCTCGAATTCAGCTCATATTAAAATTAATTAATTTATATTTATTGTTTAATTAAATTAATTTCCAATTAAACATTAAGTAATACGTAATATTTAATATTATAAAAAATAAATGAAAATTTTATAATGTAATCAAAAAATTATTTATTTATTTATTTAAATTAAAGATTAAAACATAACTTAAAAAAAATAAAATGACAAAA